CCTTTGGTATAAGCATTGGTAGAGGTGAGAACTCTTTAGTGGTTGGCCACTTTGTTTCTCTGTTCTTTAACTTTAACCCCAATCTGTCTGTCTCTGAGTTTTTATTATTCATGAAACAGAAAGGAGACTTGCAATCTATTATTCAAGATAAGACTTTTATATTGCTTTATAGCCTGATGCAAAAGCAGTTATAAAGATAAACCCAGATCAAGGAAGTACGCAGTCATACTTTGTATGTTCAATGCAAGGAATGAGGGAAGAGTAAAATCCACTTGGAATTGTATGGATTTCTCACTCAAGGAGGTATAGTGATTTCATGATATGAAAGCCCACAGTTCCAAACACATGGTTATGATGGGTGAAATATAAAAGGTAAGCTGAAAAAGTGTTAACAATGACAAAAAATAACAAAAGACAATATAATAATATCCATGCTGGTGTCAGGCTTACTGCTCTAGAAGCAAACTGTGCTAGACAGCAGTTTAATCTAAAAGGCAGAATGTTCCAAAAATACTCTTTATGAAGTGCTGGTCATAGGCCAGGTGCATTGTTTAAAGTGAAGGTACTTACAAATTCACTAACCCTTATCCATAGATCTTACCAAATAAGGACAGGGAACAAAAAAGGAAACACTGTCAAGTCAGAAACTCTGCAGGGGTCTTTAGCTCTGACTAAGCGCAGGGTTATGCTTGTCAGGATATAGATACAACCTGGCTTCGCAACTAGGAGTTAAGTTGAACCAGCAGCTGACTCTGAGTAGATTTTCCAAATGCCAAAGAGAGTTCCTGTAAAATGGGTTTGGCTCTAACAACTGACTGGTATTTGGGAGTTGAGTTGGGAGGGGGAAATGCTGGATAAGTTGTTTCTTTCTACCAAGCTTCCACCTTTGGAAGAAGCAAACCTAGAAGAGTTGAATAACACTTTTTAGAAAATGAGTTTTGTCACTTTTTAATGTTTTCAAACTAGATTAGATAATCATGGGACTTTTTAAAAGATCTTGCTAAACAAATTGAAAGTGGGTCTGTGATTATTGTTATACTATCAATGGTTAGACAGAGTGTGTAAGTGTGGAGAGGGGAGACTAACTAGAAGATTTGGCTTTGGCGTCAGGTTCCTAAAACTCTGTCTTGACTGAGGTGTTTAATATTTCTTTACCTCAATGTTTTCCATTTATAAACTAGGTCTGGGGATGCCGTTCCCATTAAAAGCATTTTGAACAGTGCTGTTGTTTGATATGAAATGTACTCTATAGGCTTGTGTGTTTGAACACTTGATTCTCAGTTGGTTGCACTATTTGGGAAGGTTGTGGGACCTTTAGGAGGTAGACCCATGCTGGAAGAAGTATGTCACTAGTGGAGGGTTTTGAAGATTTATAACCAACCCCTAATTTCTGTTTTATTTATGTTTCCTAAGTGAGAATTCCTAAGCAGAATCTTTACTGGCTGTCTAATCCAAAATTCACAAAAGAACAAACTCAAGTTAAGCATAGGAGTGGGGCATGCCTCAATTAATTTAGTAGAGAAGGGAGGAATTAATGATTCAGCACAGGGCTCTGTTCTTAAGTGGTTCTCAAACCACCTGGAGTATATCAGATGTGATATAAATGTCCTATTTAAAGCTGAGACTTCCACAGGCTGTTTGGTCTTGTATAGTGACCAGCTATGTATTAATCACCATCTACTGCAAAAAAGAAATTTCTCTGATGAGGGTTGAAAGATACACTAATCTATGAGTATAAAGACAAAAATTTATGGGTTAATGGGGCAGTTTAGGACTACATCTATTTAGTAAAACAGTAGTATCAGGTTCTCTCCAAGGGAAAAAGATCTAGCAAGTCACAGGTTTTCTTGGCTAGCTAATGATACAGGCATGTGTCCCATCTTATAGAATGGGTATTAAATCCAAGCAGAAAGTGGGTGGATACTTCCATAGCATTTGTGCTACTTTTAACAGTGGGGTTATCTTACCAGGCCAGTCATTATTGTAGCTTGTAGAGTTAACATATGGGTAAAACTGTTGATTCGTGTTGTCTCCTGGAGGCTTGCATAGTACTGTTCAGCACCGTGAAAGCTAGCCAGTAGGGTTGAAACTTCACGGTTACTACAAAGCTTGATTTCTGCATGTTCTATGACTCAAGTATGGGGTATATTTAACAGTAGTGTCTTATAATCTAGTTCTAGAGGGTAACCAGGAGCAATGGTAATAGCTAATCATGTTTGGGGGATGTCTAAGGGACTCCACTGACCATCAACTTTAAATTTGTTAATCATACCTGGGAATGAAGTTTTTATTTCATGGCATCTGGTACCTGGGAGAGGCATTGTACCCCTTATTATAGGTAACTCAATTTAAATACACATGCATGCATGTAAGCATGTGCAAACACACACACACACACACACACCTGTATTTCACGAAGCTTCTTCAGTAGGGGGTTTCCATTTGGCTTCTCCAAAGGTCTTCGTTTTAGTTATTCCACCCAACACTCCCTCTTCTACCTTGCTATCTGATCCCTGCCCCATTTAACCTTAAACTCAATGGATCACAATGAGGACATGAGAGTAGGAGAAGGACTTGTTGGCAAGGAGAAAGGATTTGGCTGAAGTGGAAGGGAGATAATTGAGGGTAAAGTGTGTATGGGGGGGTAAATGTGATCAAAATACATTATGTACATTTATCAAATGATCAAAGAACAAAATATTTTAAAAGATCATCATATGCTTATGCACCCACCAGTGGAGGCATAAAGGAAACAAAGCATTAGATTGTGCCTGTCAACTTTTTGCAATTAATTTGTATAATATTTTAAGAGAAGGAATATGAAAAGATCAGCAGAAATGGAGGAAGAGAGTTTATATTTGTAAATGCTATCCAATTGTCAAAATACAAGTTGCTCAGTAATATCAAGTACTCTTAAGGTACACCATCTATCATGATGAGCTCCCTGAACAGTCAAACCCAATAACCCTTTGGACTCTTAGTGGTGTGCAAGAATTACATGGTACCTCAAAAGTCTCTGCAATCTGTAATTATTCCTCATGTAAACACCAAACTGATGAAGGCTTTAGTCCAAAAACTTCGTCATGACTCCTAACTTAATTTCTTGAGAGATTATTTAGATGGAGACAAGTCTTCCTGAATGATATGTGAATTCCATTTCCATCTCATTATCAATCTTGTGTTACCGAGTGATTCCAACAGTGTCTGGATATATATTGAGGAGAGTGCAAATTCTCCTTTTGGTAGACTGTAAGACAAAGGTTTAGAGTTTCAGCTCAGCGCTTTAATGTGCTGACACAGTTAAAAGGCTGACCTAAAGAACAAAGCCTCTAGTCCATTTCTTGTCAAAGTACTGTCTACAGATATGTGCAATGGGGTTCCTTGGCACCCTTTTTATTGGGCTTTTGAGATTAAAAACTATTTTTATAGCAATACTAAGGTTTTACACACACACACACACACACACACGTAGTGATATACTCTTTATGGTTTATTAAAGCTTGCCTGAGATTTCAGAAGGCAAAATCAGTCACAACCTACAGAAGGCCGGCATACACCTTTAATCCCAGTAGCCAGAAGCTAGGAGGTGGTGGTATACACTTTTATTCCTAGGACTTGGGAACAAGAGGTAAACGGATCTCTGTCACTTCAAGGTTACACATATCTACACAAGACTGATTCAGTCCTAAAGAGAAACAGCTCACACAAAAAATGATCTCAGCATCTGGGACCACACGCCTTTAATCGCAGCATTAGGGAGGTATGTAAGAAAGGAGTAATGTCTCAGTATCAAGCATTCATTCTCCAGCCACATCGAGGAAAGACAGCAGTTTAAGGCTTGGTGAAGAGCTAATGGATCAGCCCTTTCAGCCTGAGGTAGAGGTGAGAGCTAGTGGCTCACTGCTTTGCTTTTCTGAACTTCAGCTTGAAGCTTGAAGCCAAATGTCAGTCTCTGGGTTCATTTATTTATTTGTCTATTTATTTATTTATTTGTGATACACACACACACACACACACACACACACACACACACACACACACACACACGGTTTTTTGAGATAGGGTTTTGCGGTGATATGTTACTTGTACAAGTAAAGCCTGTCTGAGGGTCAGAGAGAAGCAGCTAACCTTAGAGGTCTAGAGGTATGTATAGATAGACAGGAAGTGAGATAGCTGGGTGGAAACAGGATATAAGCCAGGAGAAACAGGAAATTGCTCTCGTCTGCTAAGACACTAAAGATGTAAGGTTTGGCCGTGGCTTGCTCCTTCTTTCTGATCTCTTAGGGTTTTCCTCTATATCTGACTATCTGACTCTGGGTCAGTTTCTCTGTGTAGCCCTGGCTGTCCTGGAACTCACTTTGTAGACCAGGCTGGCCTTGAACTTACAGAGATTCACCTACATCTGTCTCATGGGTGCTGAGATTAAAGGCGTGAACCATCAGCGCCTGATGGTGTTATTATTTTTTCATTCCCATTGTCTCACCAGTACAGATGCTGCAGTTGGCATGACATGTTATAATGACATGTATCTGATAACTAATGGACTGATACTTTTGTCTTTTAAACCTTTAAACATTTCTTGCTCTCAGTATCTAATATAATTAGTATTAGATGCAACCCATACTCTTTGGGGTCCTCAGTAACTTTTAAGGGTGCTAAGGTGCTTTTGTTTAGCAAAAGATACAAGAGTAGCATCAGAGTAAAAGAAATCTATAGAATGAGGCAAATGGTTTGTTTATACATCTGAAATGTTGAGGTTGTTTAAATATATAGGGAACTTGAAAAATTCAATAGCTAAGGTACAACTAGCTAAAAGCTGGCAAAAATTCCAGATTGACATTTCTCAAAAGAACACATAAAATGGTCAAGAGGTATCTGAAAAGTTGCTAAACATCAGTAGTTCTCAGGAAGAAGCCAATTCAAACCACAATGAGATATCATTTTTATCTAGGTAGAATTACAATAACCAACACCAGAAAGCACAAAAGTTAGTGAGGATATATACTGAAAAGAATGTTTATTATACCATTGGTGGAAATGCAAATTAGGGCATTCATTATGGGAAACAGTACATAGCATTCATAGTGGTTAAAAAAATAAAACTACTGTATTATCCATATATCTTTTTGGGGGTATATTTCATATAAGAGGAAAATTAAACCTGTGTATCGTATCACTGCATATCTGCATGCCCATGTTTGTTAATAATTTATCTATAGTAGCTAGAATAAGGAATCAACCTTTTTTTTCCATTAACAGGTAATAAGAATGCGGCATAGTGGAATACTATTTAGTCATTAAAAATAAAAGCAACATCCTATCATCTGATGAAATTGGAAGGAACTGGAAAATATCATAGGATATATTCAAAATACAAGTAAACACATATTATTAGTCAAATGAATTATAAAAGATGAAAATTTTTATAAATGTTGCTTTATCAATATTTTGTCATTCTAGAATGCATTGTATTCTGACTTATATGAAGACAAATCACATAACATTATTGGTTCCCTTTTAATATGGAGAGTACTTTTCTTTTTTGGTTTTTTGACACAGGGTTTCTCTGTGGCTTTGGAGGCTGTCCTGGAACCAGCTCTTGTAGACCAGGCTGGTCTCGAACTCACAGAGATCCTCCTGCCTCTGCCTCCCGAGTGCTGGGATAAAAGGCGTGCACCACCTCTGCCCGGCGAGAGTGCATATCTTAAGTATACTGATTATAATCACATCAAAAAGTTTAGGAAAACAGTAACTTCGGAAGACAGCTACCCTACTAGATGGCTGATGTTAAGTAATTCAGAAGCCCTCTTTCTTTAACAGGTTCTTCCTAGTAAAATAAGGAAAAGCTTCTTTTTTTGGCATGGAAAGGAGACAAAGTGAAACAAATTTTGACACAATATTGTACTGTTGATACAAAATTCTGGTAGCAAGGTGCCAAGTGTACTCATAATTCCAGTGCCTTCAATTTTAAGCATGAAGCCCCAAAAGTCGAGCGGTGTTCAATACATCATCTCTTGTTAAATAGCAGCCACAGAGTTGTCGGTAACCAGTGAATGATTCCCTTCCATGAAGGACTCGCCAATTGTCTATAAATAGTACCTGTGAATGCATAAAAAAAGAGAGAAAACAATCAGAACTCATGCAAATCACAGGTAATCTAAATCAGAAGAGATCACTGAAAGGTAAAGCTTTAGATTGTTCTATGGGTTACATTTGATGAAATACTTTTCTTTTGAAGTTAAGCAAATTAAAGGGAAAATAAGATGAGTCTAATCCCATAGCAGGCTAGATAGCAATTACAAAGAAAATAGTTATACACTCTGTACACCCGAGGAGCCTATGTTCTTTGAGCAACTATCTTTTCTTTAAAATAAATCATGAAATTGGTTTCTTTCTCTACAATTATCAGTTTATTCTTTCTCAATTATGTTTTGTGTAAAGCTGAAGCTATTCTTTAATTAGAGGAAACATCGAGGGGGGAGAAGGCAGGGAGTGGGAAGCAGTGTGGGAGAACTGTGGTTGGAATGTAAAATGAAATCAAATAAATATGGGAAAAATGGAAGGATCCTGGTCAAATCCCTTTATCATTAAAATAAGTGTCTGATGTCTAAAGATGGCATGGTGCCTGCTTCCAGATCATCAGTGAATGAATGGCAGGACCAGGAACAATACCTAGGACTTAAGATGAAAATCTTTTTCTTTTGTAATATTGTGACACATGTTAGATAAGTATCATTCTTCATTGATTTTGTATGGCGAGTTTACTTAATATATTTATAGAGTTTAGGGCCTACTTTCCCAGGCTTCAGTTTGACCCAAAGCTCATTCTCAGGCCTTCTCAATTCAGTTGTTAGGGTTCGGTGTGCTGTATACCAACGATGAACAACATCATAAGGCACAGTGTTGAGGACAGCCCGGTCATAGTTGTTGTACCTTACAGGGAAACACGAGAAATAAAGATATCAGACACATGATAAAGACATTTATTGTTTACTGAACTCTCTGTTCCACACTCTTAAGAATATAGCATCAGAGATAGGAATGTCATTATCTGCTGGTCATATTTTGTTTTTCTTGGAAGACTCTTGGAGCAGAGAGTCAAAGTTAAGTTTCATTTGATTTGTTCCTGAAGTGTGTTTCATGAAGTAAATACGTTTTGGTCAAAGAGCATGAAATCAATAGGAGAGGATTTGAACATTTTACATTAAACTAAGAAGGACAACATAAGCTATCTTAAAAAACAAAATGAGATAATTCCACAAGCATTTCTCTTTGTGGGGAAAATACTGGCTATAATACAGTAGATAGGTTTACTCAGAGATCTTCATTTGGTCTGAGCACATGCTATCGCCAAGGAGTTTATTAGGAAATAAATATGCAATGATGAACACAGGAAATGTTATTCCAGCTTTTGGGAGGTTTATAGTCTATTGTAGATGCAAATATATAAATGCAACAAATATAAATAAGATAATTTCAGTTAGCTACAGATGTTGTGTGAAAATACAGTGACATGTGTTTAAAAGTAACTGGAAATTTTGTTTTTGGGTGCTGAAGGAATTTTTGGAGAAGTGACAGTGGAGATGGTGCCTGTATGAATAGAAATCAAGTATATGATAAACTAAAGGAAATGTAGTCTAGGCAGAGAGAATAGCAAATATAAGGTCTTGGAATACAAAGGCATTTTATTATGTTTATAGACCATCAAACAGGCTGTGTGGCTTATGTTAAGTAAATAAAGAGAATTATGATTGAAGAAATGAAATAGAGGAAGTAGCCAGGGGCAAGATCATATATGCAGTCATGCAGGCTGTGGTAAAACCTTGAACTTTATCTGCTTACTATGAGGACCATTGAAAATTCTTTACTATGATGATGTTTTTCTATCCAGCTGTGATGTGCATACTTCTAATAATAGCACTAAGGAGCCCAAGGTAGGTAGATCTCTTTTGGTTTGAGGCCAGCCAAGGCTACATAGTTGTGCCCTGTTTAAAAGAAATGGTAATGTATTTCTACACTGGATAAGGAAAATGAATTTCTTACTGAAGTATAATATATATATGTATATATATGCACACAAATAAATCTTGATGGATTGGGTGACATTCATATTACTACTAATGAGATACACCAATTATTGCCAGAACACTGTAACATTTTCATAAACCTCTTTATAGATGGAAGTTTCCGTCCTACCCCATCCTGAACATGACACACACACACCTCTTTCCAGTTACACTCCTTCTCCTACCCAAGGGTAATTACCATACTGATTTCTATCACTAAACATTGTATATAAAATTTTTATAAAATGGAATCATATGGCATTTCCTAGCTTGTATCTGGCATCTTTCATTTAATATTAGTTATGAAATTCACTGTTTAGTAGTCATTATTCATTATTGTTGCTGTTTGGAATTTCTACTGCATGATCATACCACAATTTATTCATTCTACTGTTAATGAACATTTGAGTAGTTTTCACTTTGGAACTATTATAAGTAGTGCTTCCACAAGCATTCTATTACATATCTTTGTAAATGTATGCATTCACTTTGTTTGGCATAAATCTAAGGATAAAATTCTGAGATATAAAGTATGTGTTGTAGAATATTAGACTAAGATGTGTTACATTTGTTTATGCTGTGGAATATTTGTTTAATGATGCAAAGATGTGTTGCATTCTTTTATGTTGCATTTGTTTAACTATGTGAAGCTGTGTTACTTTACCTACCTAAAACACATGGTTCGTCTAATAAAGAGCTGAATGCCTAATAGGTAGGCAGGAGAGAGAGAGAGAGAGAGAGAGAGAGAGAGAGAGAGAGAGAGAGAGAGAGAGAGAGAGAGAGAGAGAGAGAGAGGTGGGACTGGAAGGCAGTGTGAATAAATAAGAGAATAAGAAGAGGGAAGAGAGAGGAGGGAGAAAAGGAGAAGCAGAGGAGAACACCAGGGTCCAGCCATCATCCACACAACTAACTATGGAGTAAGAAGGAAAGAAAGACATATAGAATAAAGAAGGCAAAGCATAGAAGAGAAACAGGGTAAATTAAATTAGAAAAGCTTAATAGAAATAAATCAAACTAAAGCTGGGTATTCATAAGTAAGAATAAGTCTCTGCACATTTATTTGGGAAGTGGATGTTGGGCCCCCCTCCAAGAAAACAAGCAACTACATTTTGGTATTCCAATGTGAGGCTGGAATTTCCATAGGGCCTGAGAAAGCTTCAAACAAAAAAGGACAGAACTGCTTTAAGAGTTTCTACTGTACAGTGAACCTTTGAGCAGCCAGTTGTTGGGAGAAGCCTTCCCACCAGCCTGGTCCCAGAGCCGCATCAGTCCCAAATGAACACACAGGACACTATATTAATTATGAAGCTGTTGGCCTTGCTTGTTTCTTACTGGCTAGCTCTGACTTAAGTATTTACTCCATAATTGTTAATCTAAGTATTTCTCTTACTGGAGAAAAGGGTCCGGACTTCTTACCCCTATGGCAGCTACATGATGACTCCCTGTGATCCTCTTTCCCAGAGTCCTCCTTGACTCCTAGTCCCACCTATCTTGCTTCCCTATTGGCCAACAGTGCTTTATTGACATATACACAGGACTTCCCCATCAGCCAGTGAATTAAGTAGGGACAAAAATCTAAGTAAAAAAATGTCTGCTACTGTGCAGAGCACTGGCATTACAGAGCTGGGGATAGAATGCTGTTCTGGGTCACACACCTCCAACTGGTCCTGCAACTAGGCTTGGCTTTCATGACCCAAAAAGTGGGTGTAGCCAGCCACCAAAGCCTTGGAGGAGGCCCTAGCTATGCTTCTTAATAGTTTAAAGGCTCACATGGTCAGAAAAAAGAGATATGGAAGTACAGACAGATTCAGATGGGGAAAAAAAAAACTTCTTGATAGGTTTCAGCATGTTTAAAAATGCACGTAGGTTTAAGAAAGAAAGAGAAAGAGTATAGATAGCCATAGAAAGAAACAAATAGTTTAAAAATAATAAAGTCTTTAAAGAGTAAAAGTAATATAAAAGAAACATAATTATGGAAAATACACAGGGTGTCTGAACCTACATACTATTATGTGGATTTTGAATTTTTGGATTGCTGATAAGCAAACAGCTGCTAAGAGGCATGGGATTGAAAGAGGGAATGTTGAAATAAAGCAGCCTGGATATTTTAAGAATGCCTTAACTTTAAAGTGTAAGTCAAACAAGTCGTTGCTTTAGAGAAGAGGTTTTGTTTTTATTTTCACAGGAAATGAGAGACTGTGGATTCCTTTGGGGTTGACATGGATCAGGTTTGATCAGGGAAGACCTCCTGAATCTTGACAGGTGATATATATCAATAAAGGTTATAGCTGATCTTCCTAGGACTTGGCCATTATCTTAATTTTCTCAGTGATCCCTAAAGAAGCCTTCACTAGACAACAGGAAGCAGTTTGGAGAACATGATGCCCATATTCCCAAGAGATGGGGTGGATGGTTGTTGGTTATTTGGTGGGTCATGGATGTTTGTTATCATCTAGGGGAATATAAGAATATAGTATGAAAAGACAACTATTAATCTCAGATATTTTGCATTGGTATGGATTTTGGTATATTGATACAAATTTAAAGTTATTTTTTATTATAACATATATATATATATATATATATATATATATTTCTACTTTTGTTTGGGTCATTGTACTTATGCAGCTCATTTATAAATGCAAATGTATAATTAAGGTTAATTAACTAAACAAGGTTAGTAGTTAATCTATAATAATCAAACTTGTAGTCACATTAGGTATATTTTATGGTCAAACAGACATATTTTAGACAGATTTTGAAACACTTCAAAGATCTACACAATATGGCATTTAAGGTTTTTCATAACAAATAGACACATCTGCTGCTGGCATAGACGAAACTCCATATGGAGTTTGCTTTCAATGTTGCACAGCTAGCCATTTTGGCAAGAAACTGCTCTTGCTTTGACTGTTGACTGTATGTTGTACAGACTAGACAAGTGAGACAGAGGAAAAAAGACTGTTGAACTCTGCCAAGACAAGGCAGGACAGTTCTTTGAGATTCCTGCTTCACATAAGTGTCTGCCAGATATTACGTCAGACACAGAGGAAAGTGACTGATGAACTTTGCCAATATAAGGTAGGGATATCTTTCAAAACTCCTGCTTTATAGAAGTCTGTCAGATATTCTAGGCCTGTAAGGTGAAGATGGAGGCCCAACGTTGCAGAGGAATCTTGGGTGACTGTCAAGGAAGCCAGATGTCTCTGTTGTTAGGTAATACTACATCCCTCTGGTGTCTTTGATGGATCCTTAGTTATGATAGAAGGAAAATTAGGTATAAAACTTCGGAAACACTAAGATATATAATGGAGTATTTTCTCTGAATTTGCTAAATACAAATGGACTGAATATTTTAAATGTAATTCTTACTTGATAACTATTTTTATTGTATGTAGTTTTACTACATTAAAGTTAAGGCCTTTCATCTTTATTTAGACAAAAAGAGGAAAATGTTGTTAGTTTAAGGTGTGTTACACTTGTTTATGCTGTGGAATACTTGTTTAATGATACAAAGATGTCAAAGATGTGTTGCATTCTTTTATGTTGCACTTGTTTAACTCTGTGAAGCTGTGTTACTTTGCCTGCCTAAAACATCTGGTTGGTCTAATAAAGAGTTGAACAGCCAATAGCTAGGCAGGAGAGGGACAGGTGGTGCTGTTAGGCAAAAATAATAAATAGCAGAAAGAAGAACGAGAGAGAAGATCCAGAAAAGGAGGAGAGGAGGATGCCAGTGGCCAGTCACTCAGCCACGCAACCAGTCACAGAGTAAGAAAGAAAGAAAGACATAAAGAATAAAGAAAGGTAAAAGCAGAGAAAGGTAGACAGGTTAATTTAAGAAAAGCTGGCTAGAAATAAGCCAAATTAAGGACAGACATTCATAAGTAAGTATAAGTCTCTATGTATTTATTTTGGAACTGCGTGGAGAGTCCCCCATAGAGTAAAAATAAACAACTACATTTTACTACAGGTATGTATGTTGTCAGATTTTAGTAGACACTGCAAAAGGTCTTCCTTTCAAAGAGAAATAGGGGTTCTCTTCTGGATATTAGATGGCGTTTGTTGGTTTTAATACACACCATAATCAGAACCAGTATTCTTTTTCCCTCCAATGTTAAATAAACACACACTTAGCAGACATCACAGGACTGCTATCAGAGACTCAAATGAAAGACAATAATGAATAATGCTTTCCCCAAGGCTTTTAGGTGTCATGTCCATATGAGGAAGACAGTGAGGAAACAGTCTTCAACAGTGTGTTGACACTCAATACTATTTGTAGAGACTTCAGTCTTATATATTTGATAGCTGTATAAATACTATTTTATTGGCTTATTTTTCTGTTTCTGAAGGCAAACTTATTAGTCATCTTTTACACATAAGGCAACGGAAACTTAGAAAGACTAAGTCTGTCATAGCTTATTATTTTCTGTAATTGGATCTCTCTAATACTTTACAGATTGATAGCACTGTGAAGAGAAGAAAGAACTATCCAATGCCTGTGAATATTTGCTCATAAGGCTATCCTAAAAATGTATATATAACAGTAGCTAAAATTAATAAAACTGGCAGCACCAATTATTGGTAAGGACTTGGAGCAGATGCTACTTTCATCCTTTCTTTATGAAGGTATAAAATGGTAAAACTGGTTCTGTAAAATGTTATTTATTGAAACTAAGCATTCTTGAACTAGATGACATATCTGCACTATTCTGTGATGATTAACATTAATTATCAACTTGACAGAATCTAGGATCACCTAAAAGATAAACCTCTGGGCAAGTCTCTGAGGGTGTTTCCAGAGAGGTGTAACTGAGTAACAAGGCTCCACCCTGATTGTGTGTGGCACCATTCCATGGGCCAGAGCCCTGAATTAAATATAAAGGAGAAAGTCAGCTGAGCACCAGCATTCATATCTCTCTGCTCCCTGACTGTGGATTGTAACCTGCTACCTCACTTTCCAACTATGAGCCATAATAAACCTTTCCTTCCCTGAATTGCTTTTGATAGGTATTTTGTCATAGCAATGAGAAAAATAACTAATACACATCCCTATGTATTTGTTTGATTAAAATGAAAATGCATATTCATAAAATACTTTTATGAAAAATTTTATAACATTTTTAATCATAATGAAACCAAAATAGAAACAACTTAGATATAATTTTTATATCTTATTTATATCTTATTATTTTAACCAAAAAAACAAATAGTGGCTTCCTTTGGAGGTATATATGCGGGGTTTGAATGGAAAGTAAAAAGGCACTCCCTCTATTGAGGATAATATTTTATATATTGATCTAGATACTTTAAGCATTTTTTATTTAAATTAGAAACAAGCCTGCTTCATATGTCAATCCCCACTCCCTTTCCCTCCCCTCCTTCCCATACCCCCCACCAACCTTCCATCCCATCTTCCTTCCACTCCCCAGGGAGGGTGAGGCACCCTTTAGGGGATCCCCAAGTCTGTCATATGATCCAGGGCAGGGCCCAGGCCCTCCCCCATATGTCCAGGCCGAGAGTACATCCCTCCATGTGGAATGGGCTCCCAAAGTCCATTTGTATGTCAGGGATAAATACTGATCCACTACCAGAGACCCCATAGATTGCTGAGGCCTCCTCACTGACATCCATATTTCAGCGGTCTGTTTTAGGCTCATGCTGGCCTCTCAGCCATCAGTCTGGGGTCAATGAGCTCCCCCTTGTTCAGATCAGCTGTTTCTGTGGGTTTCACCAGCCTGGTCTTGACCCCCTTGCCCATTACTACTCCCTCTCTGCAATTGGATTCCGGTAGTTCAGTTCAGTGTTTAGCTGTGGGTAATGCTTCTGCTTCCATCAGCTACTGGATGAAGGTTCTAGGATGGCATATAAGGTAATCATCAATCTCATTATCAGGGAAGGGCATTTAAGGTAGCCTTTCCACTATTGCTTAGTTTGCCAGTTGGTGTCATCCTTGTAGATCTCTGGAAATCTCACTAGTGCCAGATCTCTTATTCATGCCACAGAAGTATATTCATTTCCCAAACCTCTATACATTTAATGTTTTAAAACATCACTATATGTATTTTTCACTTGAAAACAAAAAAGTTATAAAACCATATTGAACTCTATTATAGATAAATCATGTATTTCATGATGGTTGGATAGATGGCGTCTTAGGGTTTCTTTTACTGTGGTGAAACACCATAACAAAAACAACTAGGCGAGGAAAGGGTTTATTCAGCTTACACTTCTATATTATAGATAATCAACAAAAGATGTCAGTGCAGGAGCTCAAACAGGGCAGGAAACTGGGAGCAGAAGCTGATGCAGAGGCCTTAAAAGAACGCTGCTTACTGGCTTGCTCTTCATGGCTTGCTCAGTCTGCTTTCTTATAGAAACACCCACAATGGACTGGACCCTTCCACATCAATCACTATTTAAGAAAATGCCTTAGAGGTTTACCTACAGGCCAATCTTCTGAAAATATTTTCTCAATTGAAGTTCCTTCCTCTCAAATAACTTCTAGCTTATGCCAAGTTGACATCAAAGCTAACTATGATGAACAGAGAAATGGAGAGTTTCATGATAAAACAAAAGTAGTAATATCTTAATAGTAGGATGTAGGAGGCAGGCTGATGTTTTCCCACATTAAATTATTTTAATTTTTCAGTTTGTTAAGGTGTTCACAATAAAATGTCAGCCATACTTCTTATATTATGTAGTGGGTATGCAAGAGATGACTGAGGGAATATTTCTGGGAATAACTCATCCAAGAAAAGTGAGTTACTATTGACATAATTCCTTCTACCTTCCAGTGGTAAAGAATAGAGACTTATTTTTAAAATTGGTATGGTTGGTATTATTGTTGAAACTTAAAAAAAAACTCATGACAAATAGGTTAAGTGACTTAGTCAATGATGCAAATTATTGAATGACAGTCAGGATTTGATCTTTTCTGTACTACCTCAAGTTACCTTTTGCAGTTCTTGTCAAGCTGCCTCTGTACTCCACATCTCCTTCCTTACTTTATTATCATTTGATATAATATATATTTGCTTTTCAAAAATAAAATAACTTCTTCTATTTGGATGAGATTATGTGATAGCCATGAATTTTCTCATGTTTTTCTTACAATTATAACTCTAGCATAAAAAACAATGCCTGTGTCTTTGTAGATACTCAAGAAGTATTTGTGGAACAACTATGCCCTGTAGAAGTTAGCATAAATGAAAATAAAATAATAAAAAATTTGGCTGAAACATGAAAAACAACTTAAAATATAAAGCAATGTAGCATATCTTGGGTAGAATTTGTGTAGGAAACATATGTTGTATGAGTTGAAGCTAAAAGAGTAAGAAGGAGGCAGGCTATGCAAAATTGTATATGTTACGAGAATAACTTGTGTTCTTTGGAAGATACTGAGTGGATGTAGCATTTTCACAGTAGAATCTTAAAGTGAGATTAGTATTTCAAAAAAATTACTTTAGGACCTGTGAGATAACGCAGAAGATAAAGGTGCACACACATATACATTTATATATTATATAATACATATTTATGCATACACACAGGCCTCACTTTGATTTCTTGATCAAATGCTGAGAGAACCAACTCCTGAAAAGTGTTCCTGTGACCTTCACACATGTGCAGTGGCATACATGTACTTGTATGTTTTCACACATTAACACACACAATAATACATACAAATTTAAAAGATTTCTCCAGCTACAGCATACAAAATGGGCAGAAGGTGGGTAAGGGTGAAATCAACAATACGGTGTGGAGGTGATGGTGATCTCACACAAAAAGTGGCATTATGGATAGGAAGCACTGGGTACTTAGAGGAAAATTTATTAGGTAAACCTGGTCCAATTAGTTGTATAGTATGAGGGAAATGGACTGGTTAAAGGTGGATTTTAGTTTTTTCTTTGGGCAATTTAGTAGATATATCATTCAATGAAACATGAACACATATGTAGAGAGCTTTAGGTGAGAGAAGCCTCTGAATTACATTTTTGAGTATGATACACTGTATGTTCTATAAGACAGTCAAATGATGATTCCAGGAGATAGGTGAATACACTATTCAAGAGCTCAATATAAAATAAATATACCACATAAGAGAATAGTTATTTGGTACTCACCTGATCAAATAGAGCTCTTTATTCCATGGGTAGATATTTAATACTGGTCCAACCCCAATCATGTGGTTATGACATTCTCCAACATTTTCAATATATTCATGCTTTAATGGTACTTTGCTGAGGAGTTCAAATTCCTCAGGTGCTTTTTGAAGTACTTGTTGTGCTGCATAGAATCCATCTACTAACAGTGTCCTGCCACCTGTTCCTTCATGCTTAAGACAATGAAATACTTGAATGCTAAAGAAAACGAAACAAATTCTTTTTTTCAGTGGATAAAAGAAAACATACTGAAACTAGTATATCAGATCAGAAATGATTACTAACCTACTTTGGGTGGGGAGGCTGGGGGTCTGGTCAGGGGGCGGGGGAGGAGGGGAGGGAGAGGGAGCTGGAACTGACATGTGAAACAAGCTTGTTTCTAATTTAAATATTAAAAAACACCATGACCTATAGGCTTGAGGAGACAGCTGACACTTGTGAGATCTCCAGAGATCTACAAGGATAACACCAACTGGCAAACTAAGCAATAGTGGAGAGACTACATTAATAGCCTCTCCTTGATGGTAAGGTTGATGACTACCTTATATGCCATCCTAGAACCTTCATCCAGTGAGTGATGGAAGCAGAGACAGATACCCACAGCTAAACACTGAACTGCACTACTGGAATCTAGTGACAGAGAAGGAGGAGTGATGAGCAAATGGGTCAAGACCATGATGGTGAAACCCACAAAGTCAGCTGACCAAATAAGGGGGAGTTCTTGAATCCCAGACTGATGCCTGAGAGGCCAACAGGGGCCTGATCCAGACTCCATGAATATAGTGCCAGTGAGGAGGCCACAGAAATCACTGGAGCCTTGGGTAGTAGATCAGTGTTTACCATGGTTTATGAATGATCTTTGGGAGCCCATTCCAAATAGAGGGATGCTCTCTCAGCCTGGACACATGGGGAAGGGCCTAGGTCCTGCCCTGGATGAAATGACAGACTTTGGAGATCTCCCCAAGGAGGGCCTCACTCTCCCTGGGGAATGATGTGGGGATTGGGTGGGGGGTTAGGGGGACTGGTGAAGGGGCAAGGGAGGAGGGGTGGGAAAGGGAGCAGGGATTGACATGTGAAGCACTCATGTTTCTAATTTAAATTAAAAAACCAAAAAAAACCCACCATGACCAAAAGTAACCTGAAGATGAAAGGGTTTATTTAACTCTTACACCTTGTATTTCACTATCAAGATAAAGTAGGGTAGGAACTCAAGAACCTTGATGAAGAAGCCATAAATGAGTGCTATTTACTGGCTTGCTGCTCCTCTTAGCTCTCTCTCTCTCTCTCTCTCTCTCTCTCTCTCTCTCTCTCTCTCTCTCTCTCTCTCTCTGTCTCTCTCTCTGTCTCTCTCTCTCTCTCTCTGTCTCTCTCTGTCTCTCTCTCTCTCTCTCTGTAGATGTGTGTGTCTGGGGTGTGTCTGTCTGTCTCTCTCTCTCTGTAGATAGATAGAGATAGATAGATAGATAGATAGAGAGACAGACAGACAGACAGACACACCCCAGGACCACCTACCCTGGAGTTGCATCACCACAATGGTCTGGACCCTCCCACATCAATCATTAATCAATAAAATGCCCCACAGGCTTGCCTACACAACAATCATGTGGAGGAATTTTTGAATTGAGGTTTCCTCTTCTCAAACCACTGTAGGTTGTGTCAAGGTAGGATAAAACTAATCAGCATTTAAGGAAATGTGAATATAAAAAAAGTCAAGATTTCATCTTACTCCAATCAGAATAGCCAAGGTCAACAAAACAACCCACAGCAAATGCTGGAGAGAATGTTGGGAAAAGGAACCCTCATTCACTCTTGGTAAGATCGCAAATTGATCATCCAGCTCCTCTGGAATCATTGTGGAGAATCCTGAAAAGTTAAAAGTAAATCTACTATTGAACCAAGCTGTACTACTTCTTAGTATATGTCCAAGGGACTTAACATTCTACCTCACAGATACTTGCTCAGCCATGTTCATTTATGCTCTATTCACAATAGCAAGGAAACAGAAACAACCTCAATGTCCTTCAACCAAAGAATAGATAATGAAAATGTGGTATACATTCAACTGTAAAGAAAAATTAATTCATGACATTTGTAGGTAATGGATGGTAATAGAAAATATTATATTGAGTAAGATAACCAAGACTCAGAAAGAGGAACACCACATGCTTTCTCTTATTTGTGGTTCTTAGCTCCAAATCTTCAGATATGACTATATAACCTCTGGAGTAGCTACAGAAACAAGAGAAATAGAAAGGGGGACATGGAGTGGAGGAAACTAGAGAGAGTAATATACAACATATATATACATATATATGAAATTAATTTTATTTATCCTCATGAATTTCAAAATTCTACTTTAATTTTTAAACAATTAATAGTCACCTTCTAGAACTTTTTCTGTTAACATATTCAGATACACATGTTTCAATTATTTCAACATAAAGTAAACTGAACGTCTTCTTCAAACATTCATTATCATCTCATCACATGTCTATCTGCTTTCTGTCTATAGAGCATTATCATCTTGAAGGATGCCCAAGTCAGAAGCTAAGAGTTGGTCTCAATATTTGCTTATACTTCTTCCTGTACATGGTTTTCCAAGTTACTTTATCATCTTTGTTCCCACCAGACTTTAGTACTATTGGTACAACCAACTTTTTAAATGATTTTTTCTATGAAGCAAAATTGGAATATATTAAGGAAAGGTGGGTTTTGTTGTTGGCAGCAGTGGGGTTTTCTCTAATTTTTTTGTTTTATTTTGTTTAGATGGGGTCCCATGTAGCCTAGATTGGCCTCAAATTCACCATGGAACTGACAAGGATAGCCCTCTTAAGTTCTGGTATTACAGGCTTATGTCACTACACATTAATCATGCTCCTGCTGGGGATTGAACCCTGGACTTTGTGTATGGTAGGCAGGTATTCTACCAACTGAGCTACATCTTAAAACAAAACATTTCATTCAGGGCATGGCCTAGGGCCTCCCCCAAGTGTCCAGGTTGAGAGAGCATCCCTCATTGTGGGATGGGCACCCAGAGTCTATTTGTATGTCAGGGATAAATACTGATCTACTGCCCAAGGCCCAATAGTTAGCCTAGGCCTCCTCACTGACACCCACATTCAGGGGGTCTGGATCAGTCTCAAGCTGGCCTCTCAGCCATCAGTCTGAGGTCCAAGATCTCCCCCTTGTTCAGGTCAGCTGTTTCTCTGGGTTAGGGGTGGGATGCCATGCTCAGTCTTAATGCATAAGAGAGGAGCCTGGCCTTGCCCCAACCTATTGTGCCAGACTATGGTGATTCCTCATGGGAGCCCTTCCCTGTGAGGAGGCGTAGACTAGGGGTGGGCTAGAGGGGAAGTGAGTAAAGAGGTGAGGGCAAGTGAGATGAGATATGGGAGGGAGAACTGTGGTTGGAATGTAAAATGAAATCAAAAAAGAAAGAAAAAAATCATCCACCATGATCAAGTAGGCTTCATCCCAGAGATGCAGGGATGGTTCAACATATGAAAATCTGTCAATGTAATCTACCATATAAACAAACTGAAAGAAAAAAAACCCACACAATCATCTCATTAGATACTTAAAAAGCTTTCATCAAAATCCAACACTCTTTCATGATAAAGGTCTTGGAGAGATCAGGAATAGAAGTAACATACCTAAACACAATAAAGGCAATTTACAGCAAGCCTACAGCCAACATCAAGTTAAATGGAGAGAAACTCAAAGTGATTCCACTAAAATCAGGAACAAGACAAGGCTGTCCACTCTTTCCATATCTATTCAATATTGTACTCAAAGTTCTAGCTAGAGCAATAAGACAACAAAAGGAGATCAAGGGGATACAAATTGGAAAGGAAGAAGTCAAACTTTCACTATTTGCAGATGGTATGATATTATACATAAGTCATCTCAAAAGTTCGACCAGGGAACTCCTACAGTTGATAAACACCTTGTGAAGTGGCCAGATACACAAGATATTGAAGATGATAGCAGAAAAGATATTCCATGCTCTTGGATAAGTAGCATTAACATAATAAAAATGTCAATCTTACCAAAAGCACTCTACAGATTCAATGCAATCATCATCAAAATCCCAAGACAATTTTTCACAGACCTTGAAAGAACAATACTCAATTTCATTTGGAAAAACAAAAAACACAGGATAGCTAAAACAATTATGTACAATAAAGGAATTTCCAGAGGTATCATCATCCCTGACTGAGCAATAGTTGAGAGGGTGCTTGAACTGATCTGCCCCTATAGTCAGACTGGGGACTACCCTAACTGTCATTATAGAACCTTCATCCAGTAACTGATAGAAGCAGATGCAGCTATCTACAGCCAAGCACCAGGCTGAGCTCCAGGAGTCCAGTTCAAGAGAAGGAGAAGGGATTATATGAGCAAGGGGGGATCAAGACCATAATGGGGAAATCCACAGAGACAGCTGATCTGAGCGCATGGACTCTAGACTGAGAGCTGGGGAGCCTACTTAGGCCTGAATTAGGCCCTCTGTATGTGGGTGACAGTTTTGTAGCTCAGTCTGTTTATAGGACTCTTGGCAGTGGGACCAGGATCTATTCCTGGTCCATGAGCTAGGTTTTTGGAGTCCATTCCCTATGGTGGCATGCCGTGTTTAGCCTTGATGCAAGGAATGGGGTGTCTTGGTCCTGCCTCAACTTATTGTTCCAGGATTTGTTGACTTTCCATGGGAGGCTTTACCATTTCTGAGGAGTGGATGGAAGGTGGGTTGGAGGTTAAGGGTGAGTAGGAGAAGGGGAGGCAGGGGGAACTGTGTAAATGAATAAAAAATAATAAAAAGAATGAAAATATGTCATACAACAAGGTCATCTGTTCATAGCAGCATTATTTGTAATAATCAGAACCTGAAAACAATAAATATAATTATTACATGTTTTATTGAATATACGATAGATAAGTTGAAAAAGACATGAAAATGAAAGGGGCTACCAGAGATAATAAAACAGAAAGAGAGAAGGGAGTATAGATAAGTAAGAATAATAGAAGGAATGAATATGGTTAAAGCACACTATAAGCATATATGAAACTATTATATGAGACCCCCTTACACGGTAATAATAATTGTCATAAGGTATTAAATGCAGATTTTTTTTAAAAAGCTTAGATATAAAAGTATAGAAAAAGGAATACAGAGTCTAGGCAAATATTCAAAAGCAGAGAATTAATGAAAGTTCACTGATAGGAAGTCAATGGTTTATGAAAATGCTAAAGATAGAGGAAATTCTCCAGTTGGAGGAATGATGACATCCAGAGCAAAGGTGTCTTAGAAAGGAGAGGCATGTAACAATGAAGATGATAGTGGTGATTATAATAACTAAATTGGTAATGACAACTAATTCTTACTGAATATTTAGTATATGTTGAGCAGAATGTGAAGTGCTTTAAATTTATTACAAAATTTAGTCCCTTATCAACATTAATAGATTATATTACTAATTTCATTTTACAAATGAAGATATGGTAGTCTGGAGATTTTAAGTTACATGCTCAACATCAAAGAGTAATAATACATATTTAGACTGGGTTGCAGATCAAGGTCCAGTTGATGTCACAGACTTAACTCTTCACCACTATCCCTATGTTGCAAATCTACTTAGTCTTTATAATTGACTAGAAAAGGTAAAAGGGAGACATAGTTGTTTATCTCTGGTGTTGGTCATAGAACATGCACACATGTGTATACCATAGTATATGTGTGGAGGCCAGAGGAAAACTTGTGGGAATCGGTTCTCCCATTCCACCATGTGGATGTCCCAGGGACTAAACTCGGGTTATCAAGTTTGGTAACAAGTATCTTAATCATCTGAGCCATCTTACTGGCCCCAAAATATTATCAAGATACTAAATCTTCAAATAAACCAATGTAACAGTAATCAGCTGGGTACCATCACTCTTTTTCTAGTATCATTTTAACACCACATGTACATGTACAATCTTTTAACTAATACTGTTGTCTTAGGCCCATAATTTGTATGCTGAAACAAGATCAACAACCAGAAAGTAGCTACCATAGAGGTCTCTATTAATCAGCAAATAATGAGGAATTTTAATATAGTATATGCCTACTAGTATATAGCTACTGATTGAATATGAAAAAAGTTATTTTTCAGTCACTTCTCCTCTCCAACTTTGTATAAGTTAGATCCGGTTTTCTTGAGATTCGGTTTTCTTGATAGCATACTAATAACAGCAGTGTTTATAGGACTAGCCTCTCTGCTATAATACAGTAAATAAGTGCAGGAAACTGTAATTCTAAAATATATATATATATATATTCTTATTGTTGAGCCTTGGCTGTATCTGGACTCAGTAAGATCCATCTGCCTCTACCTCTTGAGTTCTGCAATTAAAAGCCTCTGCCACCATGCCAAAAATGTATTTTCTAAAGCTTATAGCTAATTAACTTTTTGGTGAGTTGTAATGACTTTGAGAAAATATTGTAGTTCTGTAAAATGGAAGATTGTTCAAGCTAGGCTACATACTGAATTCCAATTCTAGGACAGAGCAGCCAGAGCTACAGAGTAAGTCAGTGTCTGTCTTTTTCCACATATAAACATGTGTATGTGTTATATTTTAAATACAAATTTTATCCCTAAAAGTTTAATGACGACTTAACTAGAGTATTTTAAAATTACTATGTTTCCAGGGGAAGACCAAGAAACACTTGTGTAAGTTAACAGTAAGTAGGCATGATCTTCATTAAAATAGAATGGACGATGATTAAGAAACTATTCAAGACCATCAACTAGAAGAACACTACACTGGAAAAGTCTAATATACTTACCCACAGGGCTCTTGAAAGTAGGTAGTGTCAGTGTGCCGATCTAGAGCTAGCTTGGTGTATGCAGTATCACCTCTGGAAAAATCTGAAGTGAAATACCACATTCTTCCATAGATGGTTTCTCTGCCAAGTAAAATCAAGAAAAAAACTATTAGACATTTGTAATATTAAATTTTAGAGTAATATTTAATTGTAATATTTGTAGTTTCTTTTATCATTGTTTCATATATATATATTTATAAAGTTATTGTTACAGATTGATATCTGTAAGGTAAAACTGACAGTGAAAAAAATACCAGTCTTGAAAATTCTGTCATTAATTGACACTCTGGGAATGCAAACTGAAGAACCATTGAAACCCTTCACATTTTGAAAGCTCAGGGATCACTGCCCATTGTTTTTCTGACTATTTTAATAGCCTCCTCATTCAAGGCTATTCCCTGTGTTTACTTTCCCTTTATAGAAACAATGATGTGACTGTGTTGGGAGATGTTATTCTGTAAATGTGTCTGATTGGTTTGAATAAAGCACTGTTGGCCAATAGGGAAGCAAGATAGGTGGGACTAGGAGTTGAGGAGGATTCTGGGAAAGAGAGACACAGCTAGACAGCATGTAGGCCGCCAGAGTAAGAGGTTCAGACACTTTTTCCGGTAAGAGAAATACTTAGATTAACAATTATGGGTTAAACACTTAAGTCAGAGCTAGCCAGTAAGAAACAAGCAAACGGCCAACAGCTTCATAATTAATATAGTGTCTTGTGTGTTATTTGGGGACTGCAACTGTGGCAGGGCCCAGGCAGATGGCGGGGAAGGCAATACGTTACATGACTGCTTGTAGTAAGTGACAATTTTAATTAATTTATATAACAACTACTGTCTTTAATCGATATTCAGATTTTTCAACAACAGTTCCTTTCTAATATATTAGATGATCTAATAATAAAGGGTGACAGAAGAGTTTCCATATTATTCATGTCATTGAGGTGTTTGCTTTCATTTAATCTTTTTAACACAGAGGAACAAGAAAAAGAGCAAATGATATTTTGTTACAAATATGAGACCTGCTGTATTGTATCTCACCTGCAGAGTAATAGATTTGATTTTGCATTTATTTTCTCAGTGGGTTCAGATCTAAGGAAAAGGATACTTTTATTTTTGGCATTTAAAGACAGATTCCTCTGTGTAGCGCTGCCTGTCATGAATCTCACTCTGTAAACCAGGCTGGTCTTGAACTCAGAGATTCATCTGCCCCTGCCTCCAGGGTTTTGGGATTAAAGGATTGCAACCACAACACCTAGATTTGAGGAAATGATACTTTAATTGTTTAGCTTTCAGAGTTCTTTAAAGTCAAGAGTAAACAGAAAATGGTTTTCCTTTTGAAATAAGTTTTCAAACCTCCTCAATTGTTTGCTTTGCAGCAGTTTCCTTTATTTGAGAGCTTTGAAACTGTGTTTCAAACAAAATGGCTCACAAATGCTATTGACTATACTCTATTAGCACTGTCCAAATGACCCAGCATACTTTGGTACTTTGGGTAACACAATAAACTAGGTCCACAGAATTGGAAAAGATATTCACAAACCCCACATCTGACAGAGGGCTGATCTCCAAAAATTACAAAGAACACAAGAAGCAAAACTCCAGAACACCAAAAGATCCAATTAAAAAATGGTGTACAGAACTAAATAGAGACTTCTCAATAGAGGAGTCCAAAATGGCCAAGAGACACTGGAGAAAGTGCTCAACATCTTTAGTCATTAGGGAAATGCAAATCAAAACAACTCTGAGAAACCATCTCACTCCCATCAGAATGGCTAAAATCAAAAACACTAATGACAGTTTATGCTGGAGAGGATGTGGAGAAAGGGGTACACTCGTCCATTGCTGGTGGAAGTGCCAACTCGTACAGTCACTTGGAGATCAGTATGGAGATTCCTCAGAAAAATGGAAATCAGTCTACCACAAGACCCAGCAATTCCACTCTTAGGCCTATACCCAAAAGATGTACCCTCATACAATAAGGACATCTGCTCAACTATGTTCATAGCAGCATTATTTGTAATTGTCAGAACCTGGAAAGAACCTAGATGCCCCTCAACTGAAGACTGGATAGAGAAAATGTAGTACATTTAAACAATGGAGTACTATTCAGCAGAAAAAATGGAATCTTGAAATTTGCAGGCAAATGGATGGCACTGGAAGAAACCATCCTGAGTGAGGTAACCCAGTCACAAAAAAAACAAGCATTGTATGTATTCACTCATATATGGATTTTAGAAATGGAGCAGGGCATTGCCAGCCCACAACCCCCACCAGAGAGTCTGGGGTACAGGGAGGACCCTAAGAGAGATATGCATGGTAACCCAGAGAAGGGTTAGGGGATGCGATCTCCTAATTGGATTGAGGGGGGGAGAAGGGGAGGGTAGAAGGAGATGGGAGAAAGAGAGAGAGAAAAGAGGAGGGGAGAGGAGGACATGGGAGAGCAGGAAGGTTGAGCCAGGGTAAGAATAGAGGAGAGAAGGATGGGGGATACCAGAAAAGAGGGAGCCAGTATAAGTCAGAGGAGAGATCTGGCACTAGTGAGATCTTCACAGATCTACAAGAATGACACCAACTGGCATTAAGGCTATCTTAAATGCCCTCCCATGATAATGAGAATGATGACTACCTCATATGCCATCCTAGAACTCTCATCCAATGGCTGATGGAGGCAGAGGCAGACACCCACAGCTGTGAACGGAATTGAACTCCTGGAACACAGTTGCAAAGAAGAGTGATGACCAAAGGAATCAACATCGAGCTGGCAAACCCACAGAGGCAGCTGACCTAAACAAGGGGGGAACACATGGACCCCAGACTGATGCCTGAGGGGCCAGCATGGGACTGATCCAGACACCTTCCCACCAAACCTGGGTGACAGAGAGGAGGCCTTGGCAATCTGTAGGACGTGGGAGAGTGGAGCAGTATTTATTCTTGGCATACAGAAGGACTCTGGGAACCCATGCCACGTGGAGGGATGCTTTCTCAGCCTGGACACATGAGTAAGAACCTGAGCCCTTCCCGGGATGATGTGACAGACACTGAAAATCCCTTATGGAGGCCCTTGCCCTCCTTGGGGAACGGAGGGGAGATGGAGTGGGGGTGATGGGTTGGGAGGATTGGGGTTGGGGGAGGAGGGGAGGGAGAGGGAACTGAAAGTGACATGTGTAAAAAGTTAAATAAAAATATAAACCGGGCGTTGGTGGTGCATGCCTTTAATCCCAGCACTCGGGAGGCAGAGGCAGGCGGATCTCTGTGAGTTCAAGGCCAGCCTGGTCTACAGAGCGAGTTCCAAGACAGCCTCCAAAACAATACAGAGAAACCCTGTCTCAAAAAACCAAAAAAATATGGAAAAATATTAATTTTATTAAATAAAAATACTATTTGTAATGAAGTAAGTTTATGTCACATTTAATGTAGATCAATCTGTATGTGAAATGGGGTATAACAATGAAAAGAACACTTTATTCCGGATAAGGAAACCCAAGGTATACTGCTTACTGTCACAGTGATCCTGGAAAAGTCACTGTATCTTAGCATCAGGTGCTTATCAGTGGAACAGACAATAAAATATGATTAAAAGGGTTGCTGCAATGATCAAAATAAAATATAGGGTGTGAATATGTTAATTAAATGCAATACAATGTAGCCAATGAAGCATTAACAACAAGTCTATGTTTGAGTGTTACCTATCTATGAAGACGAAAACTGGATGATTTTTAGACTATATTTTTAAAATGCAGTACAAATTCAGGCCCCTTTTGAGCAGAATACAGAACAGGGAGGAAGTAATTATGGAGAGGGGAGGGAAGGAAAGGAGGAGAGAGAGGTGGCTCCAGGGAAGGAGGATTAGAGAGATTATTTTGGGGGGTGGCAGTATTGGATACTGAACCTGGGCATAATGCATTTGAGGCAAATGCTCCGTGAGCTAGATCTTTTTACATCTTTTAATTGATGCTCATGCTCTAGAAACTAGTTACTGTGGATTTCAAAAAGTTAGTAAATTACCTGATTAAACTTATCCTTTCTGCCAGCTTCTCTGTGTGCTCTTGACTGGGAGGGACATTTTCTACAAATGCAATTCCATATAGTAGAAAGTTCTGCAGAAACTTCTTCAGTTCATCACTTGTTTTTAAGAAACTCTGGAAATCAACAGATGGAACTTGGGCTTGCTGGTAGAGTTTAGCATTCCATAATATTCTAGGTTGGATAACCTTTTGTTTCTGCCCTTCATAGCTATTTTTCACCAGCCAATCCAGATCATATCTAGTCACATGACCATCTGGCCCTTTTTAGGAGGAATAAAAAGCATTAAAATAAAATACTGACAACAATTTACTATTTAAAATAGTCATTCTTTTTTCAACATTCGTTTTACATTTTTAATTGAGAATTTCATATATGTACATGTTTTATTTTTATTTTTTTAATTTTTAATTTTTTATTATTTATTTTTAAGCTTAAATTTAGATTAGAAACAAGGTTGCTTCACAAGTCAGTTCCAAGTCCCTCTCCTTTTCCCTCCCCTCCTCCTGTGCCCTCCCCCCAACCCCCCCAATATCCCCTCATTTCCCCAGGGAGAGTGGGGCCCTCTTTGGGGGTGTCCATAGTCTGTCATTTCATATAGGGCAGGGCCTAGACCCTCCCCCAAGTGTTCAGGGTGAGAGTGCATTTCACTTTGTTGGATGGGAGTCCAAAGTCCATTTGTATACCCGGGATAAATACTGATCTACTGCCCAAGGCTCAATAGATTACCTATGCCTCCTCACTGACACCCACATTCAGGGGGTCTTGATCAGTCCCATGCTGGATTCCCAGGCATCAGCCTGGGATTCAAGAGTTAACCCTTGTCAGGTCAGCTGTTTCTGGGGGTTAAACCAGCCCAGTCTTAAGCCCTTTGGTCATCAGTCCTCCCTCTCTGTTACTGGCTTTCTTGAGTTCAGCTCAGTGCTAAGCCATGGGAGTCTGCCTCTTCTTCCATCAGCCACCGAATGAAGGTTCTGTTTCACAGACACTCTGGCCATGTGATTGTAGGCTGGCACTCTCCAGATCTATGTCTAAAATCCATATATGAGAGAGTACATGCCATGTTTCTCTTTTTGTGACTGTGTTACGTCACTCAGGATGGTTTCTTCTAGTGCCATCCATTTGCCTGCAAATCTCAGGATTCCATTGTTTTTTTTTCTGCTGAATAGTACTCCATTGTGTAAATGTACCACATTTTCTCTATCCACTCTTCGGTTGAGGGGCATCTAGGTTGCTTCCAAGTTCTGGCTATTATAAATAATGCTGCTATGAACATAGAGGAACAGACATCCTTGTTGTATGAATGGGCATCTTTTGGATATATGCCTAAGAGTGGAGTTGCTGGGTCTTGTGGTAGGTTTATTCCCATTTTTCTGAGGAATCGCCATACTGATTTCCAAAGTGGCTGAACAAGTTGGCACTCCCACCAGCAATGGAGGAGTGTTCCCCTTTTACCACATCCTCTCCAGCATAAATTGTCATTGGTGTTTTTTAAAATTTTTTTAAAAATTTTAAATAGCTTGTTTTACATGTCAATCCCAGTTCCCTCTCCCTCCCCTCCTCCCGCACTCCCCCATCCCCCCCAGCCTCCCACCCTATTGCCAAATCCTTCCACATAGGGGATATCTAGAGTCTGTCATTTCACTCAGGGTAGGGTCCAGGCACTCCCCTAAGAGTCCAGGCTGAGTGCATCCCTCTTTGTGCAATGGTCACACATTGACTGTTTGTATTCCATGGATAGACACTGATCCACTGCTCAGGGCCCCATAGGTTGCCCAGGCCTTCTCACTGACACTCAACATTCGGGGGGGTCCAGATCAGTCCCATACTGGCTTCCCCACTGTCTGTCTGGGGTCCAAGAGCTCTCCCCTGTTCAGATCAGCTGTCTCTGCAGGTTTTGCCAGCCCATTCTTTGCCAATTTGCTCATCACTCCTCTCTCTCTGTCACTGGGTTCCTTGGTTTCAGTTCAGTGCTTAATTGTGGGTGTTTGCCTCTGCTTCCATCAGTCACTGGATGAAGGCTCCCGGATGGTTATAGACATCAAGTTCATTATCAGGAATGGGCATTCGAGGTGGTCTCTCCACTATTGCTTAGCTTGCCAATTGGTGTCATCCCTTTAGATCACTAGAGGTCACTCGGGTGCTTGATCTGTCTTCTAACCTATGATTCCCTCTTCCCCCTATTTTGCCCCTCCCACTCAACCTTCCTGTTCCCCCATGACCTACTCTCTCTTCCTCTTCTCCCCCTCTCTTCCTCCCAGATCCCACTCCCCCCCCCACCCCTCGCCGTGTTCCCCATCCATTCAGAGGATCTTGTCTCAATCCTCTTCTTTTGGGTACTAAGCATATCTTTTAGATTCTTTCCTGTTTCCCAGACTATCAGTGGAAGTGCAGACTGGCACTATCCTGTTCCATGTCTAAAATCCATATATGAGTGAGTACATACCAGGTTTGTCTTTTTGTGACTGGGTTACCTCACTCAGGATGGTTTCTTCCAGTGCTATCCATTTACCTGCGAATTTCAAGATTCCATTGTTTTTTCTGCTGAGTAATATTCCATTGTGTAAATGTACCACATTTTCTCTATCCACTCTTCAGTTGAGGGGCATCTAGGTTGCTTCCAGGTTCTGGCTATTACAAATAATGCTGCTATGAACATAGTGTAGCAGATGCCCTTGTTGTATGAATTTGCCTCCTTTTGATATATGCCTAAGAGTGGAGTTGCTGGGTCTTGTGGTAGATTAATTCCCATTTTCCTGAGGAATCTCCATACTGATTTCCAAAGTGGCTGTACGAGTTGGCACTCTCACCAGCAGTGGAGGAGTGTTCCCCTCTCTCCACATCCTCTCCAGCATAAATTGTCTTCAGTGTTTTTGATTTTAGCCATTCTGACAGGAATAAGATGGTATCTCAGAGTTGTTTTGATTTGCATTTCCCTGATGGCTAAGGATGTTGAGCACTTTCTCAAGTGCCTCTCAGCCATTTTAGACTCCTCTGTTGAAAACTCTCTATTTAGTTCTGCAGCCCACTTTTTAATAGGGTCCTTTGGTGTTTTGGAGACTTGCTTCTTGAGTTCTTTGTAAATTTTGGAGATTAGCCCTCTGTCAGATGTGGGGTTAGTGAATATCTTTTCCCATTCTGTGGACTGCCTTTTTGTCTTGTTGACTGTGTCCTTTGCCTTACAAAAGCTTTTTAGTTTCAGGAGGTCCCATTTGTTAATTGTTGATCTCAGTGTTTGTGCCACTGGTGTTATGTTTTGGAAGTGGTCTCCTGTAACAACTCGTTGAAGAGTATCTCCCACTTTCTCTTCTAAAAGTTTCAGTGTGGCTGGATTTATGTTGAGATCTTTGATCCATTTGGACTTAAGTTTTGTACAAGGCGATAAACATGGATCCATCTGCAGTCTTCTGCATACCAGTACCCAGTTATGCCAGCACCATTTGTTGAAGATGCTTTCTTTTTTCCATTGTATAGTTTTAGCTTCTTTGTCAAAAATCAAGTGTTCATAGGTGTGTGGGTTAAAATCAGGGTTTTCAATTCGGTTCCATTGGTCTACCTGCCTATTGTGCCAATACCAAGCTGTTTTCAGGACTATAGCTCTATAATAGAGCTTGAAGTCAGTTATGGTGATGCCTCCTAAAGTTCCTTTATTGTATAGGGTTGTGTTGGCTATCCTGGGTCTTTTGTTTTTCCATATAAAGTCGATCAATGTTCTTTCCAGGTCCTTGAAGAATTGTGTTGGAATTTTGATGGGGATTGCATTGAATCTGTAGACTGCTTTTGGCAAGATTGCTATTTTTAGTATGTTGATCCTACCAATCCAAGAGCATGGGAGATCTTTCCATTTTCTGGTATCCTCTTTGATTTCTTTCTCTAAAGACTCAAAGTTCTTGATATACAAGTCTTTCACTTCCTTGGTTAACATTATCCCCAGATAATTGATGCTGTTTATGGCTATTGTAAAGGGTGATGTTTCTTTGATTTCTTTCTCAGTCACTTCATCATCTGTATATAATAGGGCCACTGATTTTTTGAGTTTACCTTGTATCCTGCCACATTGCTGAAGGTGTTTATCAGCTCTAGGAGTTCTCTTGCGGAGTTTTTCGGGTCACTTATGTAAACTATCATATCATCTGCAAATAGTGAAAATTTGATTTCTTCTTTTCCTATTTGTATCCCGTTTATCTCCTTTTGTTGTCTTATTGCTGTAGCTAGAACTTCAAGTACAATATTGAAGAGATATGGAGAGAGTGGACAGCATTGTCTTGTTCCTGATTTTAGAGGAATTGCTTTGAGTTTCTCTCCATTTAGTTTGATGTTAGCTGTTGGTTTACTGTATATTGCTTTTATTATGTCAGGTATGTTCCTGTTATCCCTGATCTCTCTAGGACCTTTATCATGAAGGGGTGCTGGAGTTTGTCAAAGGCTTTTTCAGCATCTAGTGAGATGATCCTGTGGTTTTTCTTTTGCAGTTTGTTTATATGGTGAATTACATTGATAGATTTTCTAATGTTGAACCATCCCTGCATTCCTTGGATGAAGCATACTTGATCATGGTGGATGATTTTTCTGATGTGTTCTTGTATCCGGTTTGCAAGTATTTTATTTTGTATTTTTGCATCGATGTTCATGAGGGAAATTGGTCTATAGTTCTCTTTCTTAGTTGTGTCTTTGTGTGGCTTGGGTATCAAGGTAATTGTAGCCTCGTAAAAAGAGTTTGGCAGTGAGCCTCCTGCTTCTATTGTGTGGAATACTTTGAGGAGTATTGGAATTAGCTCTTCTTTAAATTTCTGGTAGAATTCTGCACTGAAACCATCTGGGCCTTGCTTTTTTTGGTTGGGAGACTTTTGATGACTGCTTCTATTTCATTAGGGGTTATAGGTCTGTTTAGATTGTTTATCTGTTCTTGATTTAGTTTTGGCAAGTGATATCTATCCAGGAAATTGTCCATTTCCTTTAAATTTTCAAGTTTTGTGGAGTACAGATTTTCAGCGTATGATCTGATGATTCTCTGGATTTCCTCAGAGTCCCTTGTTATGTCCCCTTTTTCATTTCTGATTTTGTTAATTAACATGCTCTCTCTCTGTCTTTTGGTTAGTTTGGACAGAGGTTTGTCTATTTTGTTGATTTTCTCAAAGAACCAACTCTTTGTTTCATTGATTCTTCTCAGTGATTTCCTGGTTTCTACTTGATTGATTTCAGCCCCCAATTTGATTATTTCCTGGTGTCTGCACCTCCTCGGTGAGTTTGCTTCTTTTTGTT